CTGACAGCCAGCACACATCTGGGAGACAGAAGATGTCGAGGAACACGTCCAAAGCAAGCAAGCTTCACAGCAAAACGTGAGAAGAGTTGAACTTTAAATTCTAAACATATCCTACAGAGGTAGGACAGACAGGACAAGAAAACTCAAGTGATACAGTGGGGAAAGAAGCACGTGGATGGTCATCACGCTAACAAAAACAATTAAAAGAATTACAAAAGAAAAGGTATTTCAGATACAAAGATCAAATAATACAAAAAGGCTGCGCACCTCTGAGTGCAGAAAATCTGAGGTAAAGAATTTGCAGGCTTAGCTGGTGGGCCTGGATGAAGGCTTGGTGCCAGAGGGATGGTGACACAGGACTGGATCATCCTGGCATTAGTTTAATTAGTTTAATTGTGAGGTTAATGTCATCTAAGCCAGCAGGGAGCCTGAGCATGGATCAGCTGTGTTCTTCTGTTCTCCCTCGATTTTGCCCTAACCTGAGCCAGCCTTTCCAACATCAGACAACGGGTTTTGGCAAGGATGGAAATCAGGCTCGTGCCCCTGGTTCAGGGCTGGTCGACATTGCTGTTGGTAGGGAATGCTGGAGAGCAGCTCCCAAAGAAGTAGGAGGAAGGGCAGCAGGAGAAAGCCAAGAGAGACAGGATAACCTTCCCGTGCCGTTGTCCCGTGCCACAGGTAAGCTTTGCCATTGAATGAGATTCCACTGGCCAAGAGACAGGCGACACTTGTCCATTCCTTGTCTCCAGGGACGGCCAGCAGCCAACCCTCATCCTTAGCAGAGCAGAACAATCCAGGGAAGTGACCCAGGGAGGTGAGGAGACAGGATGCTGTGCTGGCTGCCGCTGCCTGTATTGTGCCTTTGGATACCTTGGGGATGAAGTCAGCCCCCAGATATCACTGCTCTGCAGTCTGTACAGGCGGGCGTCGGAGACAGCACTGCGCTGCTCGCTGTGGGGATGAAGCTGTTCACTGAAGGAGTTCACACAGGGAAAGTCCCTCAGGCTCTGGTTGGAGCAGGGATGCAGCTCACAGGCCCTAAAGCATCCTGAAATATGGCCCAGGAGAGATTCACTGTTCACTGGCTAAAATCCTGCTGAGGGCTGACGTAGCTGGGGACGCCTCTGTGGGCTGTAAAGGATGCTGCAAGGTGACTGGGGAGAAGCACGCTCAGACTGGCTTCCTGAACACCTTGTGTTTGATGAAGACCTCACATTTCAGCTTTGCCAAATTCCTCCAGTTCTTCCTCACAGGTAGGAAGTTCCTGAACTCACCATGGCTGTTAAAGCCCCCAGCTTCTTGCATTACCTGTAAGGGTTGCTTTGCTGTGTTCTGCAGCCACATTCCCTTCGCTCACAGCAGAGATCTGAGCTTGTCAGCCCAAATTACAGCTCTCCTCGCAGCTCTGCTCCAACCAGCCTCCCTCCTGCTGGCTGCTCTGGGGAATTTCCAGCACGATGATGACCTCTGAAATCCCTAGTTCCCTATGTTCCTCACTGGATCCCTCCGTGGTTTCACATCCTGCGGCATCACTGCTAAAATCTGCTGTCTCCGAGGTGGAAGCTGTGGTCAAGGCCAGTAGAGAGATGATGGCGTGGTGTCTCTGGGCTACACCACCCCTTTCAGTTCTGGGAAAGAAGTTTGTTTCCGAGAAGGTGTTGAAGCAACCAAAGCCTACTCTTATTTTGCCCCTTGCCTAGGTGCAGGTTCCCACTGGAGGAGGTAAAGCCACCCCATTTAACACAGAGGGGTGACTCTGGGGTGGCCAAAGGCCACCGATGTTTTACAAGAGAGATGGCTGGAGGCAGGCAGGGTCACCATGCCAGTCTTCCCTTGCTCCTCAGGATTGACTTGCACCCCAGGAACTTGTATCTGCCTGTGATGATCAGGCACAGTGAGGGGTGGTGGCTCCCTGCAGACGAAGCCCACAGGCAGGGAGGGGAGGCAAGGCAGGGGCCTTGCAGCAGCAAAGACAAATGCATGTCATAAAAACATCACAGGATGGGCTGGGGAGGGGGAGAGCAATGAGCCGTGCTTTTGGGAGGGGAATTACAGGGAGATCTGCTTCCTGCCCCCAAGCACCTCTCCAAGAGAGAGAAAAAAAAAAGAAAGAAAGAAAGCATGCTGAAAAATATGCTCTTACACCAGGATCTGAAACTGCCCCATATCTCCCTTTTCCATAAACATGGAAAGATCCCCCCAAAACATGCCAGAAGATTTGTCAGAAAAGAGAAGAAGCAGCAGGCATCATCCCTAGGGTTAGTTATCTCCCAAAATAGTTACAAGATTTTGCATCACCGTGGCCAGCCCAACTGTCTGGAGCTCTAGATACTTCCCTCCCCATGAAGGATGTGGTTACTCTCTGAAACGCAGCGTGGTGCACAAGTCCCCAAGCCAGCGAGAGCACCCAGCCCTGGGCAGCACTGTGCAAATATCCTCGCTTGGCTGCTGGATGGGAGAGCACCTGCTGGTGGGGCTCAGAGCAGGACCACAGGCAGTCTGGAGAGGGTTGGAAAGCTCTGGTTATGTGTGGATGAGGGAGAAGTGTGAGGGAGAACTCCATTAACCTGTAATTTATTTTGAAGAACAGCGGTAACTCCTTTTACCCTCCACTGAGGTGGGGGAGATCTCTCCACGTGGGAACAGCTTCATCAAGGACCATCTGAGGAAGGACGTCCTGCTCCATCAGCCTCCGTACAGACAGGAGGCATCTGCGTGCCTGCCCTCCTCCCCACAAACCTGAAGGGAGGCCACCATACAACAAATCTTTCTGTGGGCCACCTCTTCTAAATCTCTCACCTCCATCCCAACACAGCTGTTCAGGCCTCCAGGATGCCAGCAGAACTGTTCCTCTGTTATGTTGCGTGGCGGCTGGAGCTAAATGCCCCCAGCCTGGAGCTGGAGGGACTCAAAGACCCTGCAGAGAGCCCGTATGAGACCTGCTGCTAGGGCAGTGCCTGCTCCACAGGTAAACAAACACCCCGTCCTCTGCGACAGCTATGTTTGCAGCTGAGCTTGTAGGAAAAGGTGCAGGCAGGAGGCTGCGATTGCCTTGGCTCTGGTTAGCCACTTCCCGTCTTCTGTCAGCCCCGCATGCGCTGCGTTCTTGCTGCTAAGAAAACACAAAAAGGGTTACCAGGCAGCAGACCGCACTGCAGCGAGCACACGTGGCTGGAAGCCTCGCAGACGCCCTGCCCAGGGCTGGGTGTCCCCCCGGATGGCAGGGTGGGGGCTGCTGCTCACTTTCCCTGCCTCTGCTTCCTGTGCCCTGGCCTTACCAGCCTCGTAGCAGGGGCTGCATCGCCGTGGCCAACCTGACTCGAGGGGCTGGATGGCCAGGAAACAACCAACCTCCCCTCCTAGAGCACCCACAACAAACAACCCCTGCAGCGCGTCACGGCGTTATTTTGCTGCAGGGGTGTATTCAGAGTGGCAAATTTTGGGGGTTGAGAGTATTTACGTATATAGGCAGTTGCTTAGCAACATTTGCAGCACTAATGCAAAGCCAGCGAGCAGCAGCTGGGGCCGTGGCAGCGCGGGGTGCCCCAAACGAGCACCCAGCACCACGGCCACTCCATGGGAGGCCACGCTATCGGCCAGGCTGGGGGCGAGGTTTTATTAACACCCTTCCCACACGTGCACGTAACGCGTGAGTGATACTCACAGGGAAAATGGGACCGTGGGTGGAATAAATATCACCCTCAGAGTTAGAGTGCAGGGGTGAAACTCCTGCACACAATGAATCAGAGGGGAAAAAAAGCACCCCCAGTGACATCAAGGGGCTCTGCCATCACCGGGCACCCACTACGCAGACAACGTGAGCAATCTTGGCAGCTTCTGCTGCCCTGGCCCCTCTGCTGTGGGATGAGTCTCCCTGCAGAGCAAGGTGCTCCACACCTCAGGACAGGATCGCGGGAACGCTCTCAAGCAGCATCTCCCCCTCCAGCCCCCCTGTCACCCCCACCCTTGAGCTGCCCTTTGAGGGCTCAGGGGTCCGTTTTGGGAGGCAGCTCTGCGGTATGGGAAGAGCGATGGCAGAATTTGTCCCACGCACAGCCTGCCCTTTGCCGGGCTCTGCTCCGACAGCTCACAAGCCCTGCTGCTTCCTTGCCCAAGTGCTCGAGTTCACCGGATCGGCGTTTTGTCAGCAACTTCTGGGACAGAATTAGCACCCGAGCTGCCTGACTGCATGACCAGTAGCCTCGACATCAGCGTATCACATAAACCAAGGGGTGAGGGGAAGCTAAATCTGTCTCGTTTCCTGCTCAGACAATTGCAACAGAGCTGCACATGTCAGTGCTTCACCAGGACGTCACAGGGAAGGAAGGGCAGCATCGACGGCTGAAGCAAGCAGCCTCCCCCCACCCCAACCTCTCCCTGTGTTCCTCCCAGTCATCACGCTACTCAAAGGGCAGCCTCTCTGTAGGGGAAAATTCTGTGCAGGGGAAAACCCAAATGAAGCATCAGCAGGGCCTCTCCCCTAGCGAGCAGGCGCTGCTAAGAGCAGTGTCTGTACGCGGTGTTACCCACGGACAAGGTTTGGACCTTTCCAAACATATTGGAAATAAACACACAGCCGCAAACCTGGCTCCACGGCAAGAAATTTTGTTCTCTTCTTGTTTCTTTAGGCCAGTCAAGAAATACGCCCTACAATATCCTTTCAGGGTAAAATAGATGGCTCATCACCTCCTCAACAGATGGAGGTGGAACAGAGGGGATTCTGCCCCAGGCACTTTCCTCCTGTCCCACCCCCACCTCAGGTAGCTTCCCCATGCTGCCAAGGCAAGGGCAGAGAGGACCACGGTGTCCCCGTGGGGTCCCCCATCCCTCTCCGGGCAGGGGAAGGCTGCTCAGCTCATCCTGAGCTCCTCCACAACTGCTCACAGCCCGCTGGCTGGCAGTACTCAAGGCTGGAGCGGTGTTTGCTCCCACCTGCAGGCAGCTCCAAAGATGAAAGGAACCCACAGGAGCAGGCTGGACAAAATAACACAGACAAGTGCCAAGATTTAAAATCCCGTTCATAAAAATACAGCAACTGTACAGTGTATAACATCATTTTTACAGTGTTTATAGCAGAAGCCAGGGCAAAGGTACCTGGGGTCCAAGCACCTGGGGTCCAGGCAGGGGCCTTATTTGCAGATACCCATGTAAAGCAAAGGGCAAGCAGTGGCTGCTGCATGGCATACCACAGCAGAAACAGGCTTCCTGAACCAGGAGAGGACACCATGGTATCACTGAAGCACTGCAAGCTCATCTCCCCCCATGCCACCATCATCCTCTGGCTTCAGTGGCACGAATTCCCCAAACCCACTTGGTCTGCAGATGCCCAGCCCTCCCTCACAGAGCAGAGCCTGGTGCCTGTGATGACATTACAGCAGAGCTGCCCGTGCCTCTCCAGCCAGCAGACCACAGGAGATCTCCCAGTGGGCCAAAAGCAAGGCTGAGGAGAGAGCTGCTCTATGGCTGTGCCCACACCACCAGGGAGGAGCACCCTCAGGCTCCCACTGCCCTCCCAGCAGCCTGCCCTGCCCCAGGGCCTGAACAAGCCACGAACACAGAGCTGCCACAGGCCTGAGCCCATCAGTGCCAGGAGACTGGCACAAGCACAGCTGCCCCAGCACCCCAACCCCACAGTCCCAGAAACACATCCCAGCTCTCCTGCTGCTGGTCCAGAAGGCAGCTGTGAAGGCAGGCTGGAGGAGGCTGGCCTGCTCAGGCAGGATCAGTCCATGCTTGTGGTTTTCCTTGCCTTTCCCTGACACGGAGTAGCACATCCCATGGCGTAGAAGAGCTGTCATCCACTCAGGAGAGGAGCAGCGGGGCACAGAAGCAGAGGGTACATCAGGGAGGCGCTGCGTGCATCTGCTGTGGATGCTCCTCCCAACGCTCCAAAGCCACATCTCACATCTCTGCAGGACGAGCAATGGGGAAAGAAGTGGTGAGACCTCAGCTGGGGAGGCTGCACAGCACACTGTACATCCCCACCACTACATCCAGCATCGCCTGCAGCAGGGTTAGAGCAGGGAGCTGCTCTCAGGGCTACCCTTGAGTAAACCCTTCCTGGTTTACTGATTCCAAGTATTACTTCTGCTGGTCCTGAGTCACACTTCCCCACCAGCCAACTCATTTTGGACACTCAGAAGGGAAGGAAAGTAACAGATACTGAGAACTGTGACATACGTAGCCTACTGGGGAGGAGAGGAACAAAAATAATCACATTCTAACTCTAGCCTGCCACTCGGGAGCCCTTTTAGAGAGGAGTTGTGGACCCCATAACTCAGTTTCCCCAGCTAGAAAGCTCCTGGGGACTCACCTCACGATACTGTAGTGCTGCCTGGGTAAATTTGCCTAAGAGGACTTGCCTACTGCCAACACATCCCAAGTGGCATTTGCTAGGTGATACTTATCAAGCCCAAATCTTCACATTCCTCACTCCACATGGGATATTTCCACAGGGCCATACCACTAGTACAAATACTCTTCCCCCTCCTGCTCACCCACTCTGCTGCCTGCTGCAAAGAAAAGCCTTTGAGCAGGTATGATAGAGGTAAAGAACCACAAATGTCTTGAGATCTTCCTGAAAATGCCAAGAGCCCTACATGATGCTATGTTTAGCTACTTTTCTCCAAGGCTCTTTCATCCTGCTGTGCTGGATGCAGCTACCTGGGGGTATTTCGTAGAACAAGGGAACACCAGAGCACAGTCAGACCAACTACAGGAGAGAGGCACCCTGAGACAGAGGGGATAAGTCACACCCCAGCTCCACACCAGTGGAAGAGCACAGCCAGCCCTGAAGAAATCACACTGGTGTGTTAGAAGCATTCCTGTGTCTGTGCCCAAAGTGTGGTGACCAGGGCTGTGTACGTACCCTCTAATACTTTGTCCAGATCTGCAATGAACTCCTCCAGCTCCTGTGTGTCTCCAAGTTTAGCTAGGGAACAGAAACAGACACCATCAGTCCTTTCTTTCTTCCCCTCCTCTAGTCTAAGAGAAAATCTCTGCCCCTTGGTTTTGACTACAGTTGCTCAAGCTGTCTGCTGTTTTCACAACAGTCATGTGTAAATTTGCAGGCTGCCTGGAAGCATGTGGTCAAGAGTTTATGCAATGGCTGCATAGACAGTTGAGGGGGTGGGCGTTCCACACCCACAATATTGCCCAAAGACACCACAGAAAGGAAAACCCCAGGACTAACTCTTACCTGCAGATAAAGTCTTTCCATCCTCCAGCACTATGTGCCTCCACACAAAGCCTCTCAGCCCACCAACCCAACCCTCTCTGCTCCCAGTTCCAGACTGGGGCTCTGGGGTTATGATAGCGCCAACAGGCATCATGCAGATCAGCATCCTGTACAGCAGCCAGTGGCAATTTAGGCTTGTAATCAGAGAAAACAGAAAGGCAGGGACACATTCTCCCATGCGCACGATATGAGCAAGTCAGCATGGACTTAGCTGAGGTCAGGGAATTGGATTAGTACGTCATGTGAAGAAGACAAGTTCCCTATTTTCTTATCCCGGTAAGATCCTGTGCTTCCAGGTCAAAGCTTCATGCCAAGACCCTCCTAAAGAGACCCCTGGTCAGCCTAGCCTTGATGGGGAACATACCAATCCAACTTCTTATCTCTTCTGGGATCCAGCCAGGGCCTCAAGGCTCATTCCCACCTCCAGATCCTGCAGTGCACCACTGGCACACCTGCACACACCCCCCTCACAGAGCAGGCGGTGTCCACTGCTGCTGAGCCAGGAAGGGGTGACCTCAGCTGCCAGACACGGGAATTTCTTCACTGTTTTAAAGACTTTTCCCAAATGTGCCCAAGGAAACCCTGGCAGACAGCCTTTCAGACAGATCATTTAGCCTTACCTTTAGAGGGGTAAGCGCTGGCATGTGTGTTGAGATCCTCCTCGCTGGAGTTCAGACTGCTTGCTGGGGATGTGCTGTTACCTGCAGACGCAAAGTGTCAGTCAATGTTCAAGGCCACAGGCACCTTGTGAACAAGTTGCAGGACCAGAGGCAGAACAAGGACCAGAGACAGAGATGGAACAGGACCCTGGTCTACCCTGACCCTCGCCCAGCCCACCTGCTCTTCCCTGGCTACAAGGAATACTTGTAGGTTGCCTGGGCGTGGCCATGGGGATTCCTCAGGATTACTACAGCGTGCTGCTTCCTTTTGATATCCCCTGTTATCTCACGTTACTGGTGGTCCTACAGAAGCCAACCCAGCAGAAACAGAAGCAGATGTTGGCAGGCCCTGGACCAAGATCCCACGGTAATCACAGCCCTCCCAGCCTTACTCACCCAGCCCTCAGGGGATGGGTCAGATGGGCCGCCCAGAGGCTAAGCCAGCGGGGAGCTTGAGCAATTTACCATGGCAGAACCCCTCAGCTCTTAAAGCAGCTCCATCCTGCTGGACGCCGTCCTCCCACACCTCTCCTTACCCCCCAGCTCCAGACTCACTCTCCAGCTCGTCGATGCCGCTGTCGTAGACGCTGTGGCCCGCTTTCCTCTTCAGCTCCTCCAGGTGCTGCTCGGACTGACGTGCGGGGCCCCTCGCAAAGTCCTCCATCGCCTCATCGAACTCCCGCAACAGGTCGCTGAAGTCGTCAGCCATCGCTGCGAGCAAGAAACCAGGCGGTGAGGCGCTGGGGACGGGCACCAGGCGAACAGCCTCCACCCAGTGCCCTCAGGAGCAGCACCACTGAACCAGGGCACCGGCTTTTTGTCGATCCTGCCCTCAGCTCCACCCCACGCCCTCGGGTGAGATGCCAGCAGGGCTGAGCGAGGCCCCTGGGCTATTCGGAGCCGCAGCCAAAGCCCGCTGGAAACCCACGAGGGACCCGCTGAGAGCCGGGACGCGCCGGGCACCACCTCAGGGCGGCTCCGGGGAGGTCTCAGCCACCGGCTCGGCGCTGGGAGGGCTCCGGACAAGGGACGAAGGCTCAGCACTACCCCCCACCCCCCGGTGCCACCCTCGCTCACCTCGTCTCTGGGTGCCGGTGCCGGTGCTCGGGCGGGGCGGGCACGGGGCCCGCGGCCGTTTTGTGGCGGCGGCACCGCCCCGAGGCCGCCCCCGGGGCCGCCTCCAGCCCAGCCCCGGCCGTGCCCGTCAGGCCCTCGGGGCTGCCTCAGGCCCTCGGGGTGTGAGGGGCCGCTTTGCAGCATGTGTGTATATTCGTGTATTTTAGCCTATATCCGTGTATTTTAGCCTATATCCGTGTGTTTTAGCCTATATCCGTGTGTTTTAGCCTATATCCGTGTATTTTAGCCTATATCCGTGTGCTTTAGCCCCTTGCACGTCTGTGTGCTCAGCACGGGCACAGCTGCATGACACAAATTCGTAGTCTACAGCCATTTCTGCCTCGTTTCCACAGCAGAGCCCCCACCACGCTCCATAGGTACAGGTTGGATTTAAACCTCGCCGGTTCCTATCCCTTGATAGCAATGGAGTTCACCCATTTCTTCATAGGTCACCATTTCTTGCTTAAGCCCTAGCTGCCCATGCTGATCAATGACCCCACCTCTTCGCAGCAAAAAGAGACAGTTTTTAATCTCCAGTGGGCTGATGTCTGTAAGTTGTCACAAAGCCGGACTGCTGATGGTGCCCTCGAGTTTTGCCCTGGCCTGCAAAACTGACTTGCAACAAGGGTGAGCGTCTCTTAGTCCTGTACAGAACCATCAGGTAATGCTGACACCTTTGTGGCTCCAGGTGTAAGTCTGTACAGACAAGCTCCTCTTCTTCAGTTTTACTCGTAAGTGTTCACGTTGAGAGGTCCGTGTCTGGACAACACTACAACACATTCCCACCAGCGATAGGTGCAGCAAACAGCACTGCTCTGCCTAGAGCTGAATAATTTCAGCACCAACAACTGGCAAATAGAAGAGGTCCTCAACCATCAAACTGCCTGACTGCTTGATGAAGAGACGAGAACAAATACTGGAACGTCATCCAGAGAAGATTGCCTGGCAATTGTGGACCGTGCTGGGCAGCCTCCTATGTTTTTGCACCTTTCCCATTAAATGTACACTGCAGAGCAGAGGAAGGCATTCGCTGCCCCTTGCTGCTGGTTTGTGGATATGGATACAACTCTGTCACTGTGATTCAATTTCAACTAAAACTGTCCACCTGCCTGGGTTCCAGCAGCTATAAGAGGCAGATGGTGGCTCTAACAGATGAGGCATTACAGAGGGGTAGAGTCTAGTTTATTGTTGCAGATGGGCGGTATCTTTAGTATTATTTTTTTTTTATCGTTTTGGATAGCCATACCAATAAATCGATGATGTCAGCAGCATTTGTCAGTGTCTAATTCTTCTCAGTGCAGGGTGGTGCAGAACATTTCAAACCAATTCACAGCAATTCACGTACAGAGAGCAGTATGTATGCAGGTGCTGCACTGCCCTCAAGCGGAGGTTTCAGCGATATCCCGATGTTCATCCTGCACTAAGCAGTTCTGTCTTGTGACGTGGTGGAAAGTCCTTGCACAGTGTTTTTTACATTTTCTGTAATAAAAAACTCCAGCTTTGAAAGGTGGATTTCCCTGAGGTGACTGCAAAAGACACCACTGTTGCAGTGTTTGGAAAAGCAAACTTGAAAAGCAATTTTCTTGCAAAGCAAACAGCATTTCAGAGTACCTGTCACCTTCAGGTTATCATAAACTTGAACAGTAATTCAATGTTCTTTGTAGTGGCTTTTCTGAAAAGGGCTCTGCAATGCCCTGCACTTTTTCCCATGGCCCAAGGGAATCAGCATGAGAAATACAACAGTGAGCTTGTGTGTGCACATTTAAATTAAATTTGAGGGCAGCCAGCCTGTCTGCTAGGAAGCCTTTATAGGGCTGACTTAATCCTCTTCTAGGCTGTCTACTGTAAGGCACAGTGGTGACCACAAACCTTTTGGTCACCTTTAAATCCCTGTGTGGCTTCCAAGGGGGCTCTGCAGGTAGGTAGCTTGACACTACAGTCTAGTGTAGACCTGTTGGTCAAACCATCTGCAATCTGCACATCTCTCCTTTCTCACACTTGGTGTGGCTCTGCAGAGCGTGTTTCCCAAAAGCGCATGGGATGTTTTGGTGTTTTGCTTGTGTCTTCAAGAAAACACGGTAGAATGCATGTTATCCACTATAATTGCTCAGACTGTCTGCACAGAGCAGCTGCTGCCTCCTTGGACATGGTTTTGCTCACACAGCTTATATCCGAGTGTGCTTAGTAGCCCCAGAAGCGTTCAGCAGAGTCATGGTGTCCTGGGTTTATCTGTTTTTTGCAGATTCAACAGCACTGCTAATCTCCGAAGTTTATCAGTTTTGTGGAGGCTTTCACCAGCTATCTCTCAGCACACTCTTCTCTTTCCAGCTTGCCATTCTCCAGGTACTGTCTCCACCCATACTGATTGTACCCATGTGCAGGGAAGGGACCTTTTCAAAACAAGAGTTCAACCCTGAGCAGTGCACTATCCCCTGGACAGATGCAACTGAGGCTACAGGGTAATATCTCTCCCTGACTGATGGCAAAGAAGGCTCACGCATTTTTATTTTTTTTTAAACAAGCCACTTGATGCTACAAAGGGTGGCCAAAGCCATAACCCCTCAATGGCAAGTGTAGGGCACATGAGCTGAGCTGTGGGCTCCCTGCTCACACCCCCTTCCCTGGCTTGTCAGCCCCACAATCGTTCCCGTGTAGAAAAGCATCGGTGGTGCAACCATTTTTCAGATGTGACCACATCCCAGATGATGATCAGGCTTTTTTCCCAGCTGTCCAAATGGAGCAGGACTCCTGGGAATCCCACTCAGGAGGCCACAGAGCCTCACCCAAACCCTGATCTAACACCAGCTAGAGGAAAGCACAAACCCTCTCAGCTCCCAATGCCCATGACTGCTGGGAGGACTCACACCTCCAACACACCATGGCATTGCCCTGAGGGTGCCTGTGTCCAAACAGAACAGCAGTATAACTTAACTGTGGTAGTAAAATTGTCCCTAGTCTGAGAGGCTGGGTGATAGCAGAAGACTTTCCCTGGCTCCCAAAGTCAGCTGAACACAAAACTTTATAGATATAGAACAAACCAAACCAGACATTTCTTAGACAAAGATCATGGAAAAAAATCCACCAGAGTCTCTACAATCCATTAGACAGTCTTCTTCCTCAATATTAACTCAAGGAAGAAGCAGCTCATAATCTTCAGAGTATATTGTTCCCTCTTACATACTACATTAGCTATATATTTTGTGGTCAATAAGTGTTTTATGTCTATAAAATGAGCAGTTGGAAACCTGAATCCAAAAAAGAGAGGGGGGGAGGCAGTGACAGGATAACACACGACAAATGGGATATCAAAACACAAATTGCATGAGGTTGAACTGCATTTTTCTCTCCTTCCTGCCCTGCTGGCAATCCCCATCCACTTGTGTCTCAGGCCGTGTTGGCCCGGTCTGCACAGCACCCATCCCAGCAGGCGACTGGAGGTCCCATCTGCTGAGCATGGCACGGAGCTGTTGGAGACCTCTGCCAGCTGCTCCTCAGCCTGCTCCAGTTTGCTGTCCCAGTGCTTTGGTGGTTATTCAGAGGGGGAGAGGCTGTCTTCCCCAGACAGTCCCACTGCCAGCCAGACCCTGAGCTGCGAGTCGTGCACAGCTCTGGGGACAAACTCCTGTGAAGCAGCAGACCACAGAGGCAGTGCTGTGCTGAAGGCACTGCTTCAGGTGTACAAGGAGGCTACAGGACGTGCCAGTCGCTCTTTGGCTTGCTCACAAGGCACAAGCACGCAGGTTTCTTTGCTGCCATCTAGCAATAAACCCACATCAGGAAACCCTTCCTGCTGGCAACAAGCAAACCTCTCCTGCTGCAGGTCTGCCTACACCAGAACATTTCGGCATGCCTACTGTTAGCAGAGATGCTCCCACAAGTATTTATACACCCTTCATCTCTCCACTCCTCCAAAGATATAGACAACTTATTTTTGTGGTAGAAATGTTGCACAGTTTTGTCCATGGAAGGCAGTGCAGAGGGGCTGGCCCAGGCTTGCTAGATGTCAATATCCAGGTTTAGGAATGAGATATTGCTGTAAAATTCTGATGAGAAAGAGTTGCTTTCCAGGGCCTGACCAGACAGTGGGGTTGGAGCATGCTCCTCTGTCAAATCCTCAGTTTCTGTGCTCCTAAGAAACGAAGAAAAAAGTAAATAGTATTTTCAAAGTGCTTCTATTCCAAACTCCCCTTCCACAGGACTGCCAACAGTGACCCCAAGTCTCTATGGGACTATCCTATCCTGCAGCCAAGAAATAGATTACAGACATAGCTGGCAGACATACACAGATACATGCACATGCCTATTCACACAGATGAAAGAGAGGCAAAAAAAAGATGAACAGAAATGCAGACAACACCAAGAGTGAAGAAAATTTGCAGGAGGCTGGTGATGGAGCTAAAAGTGGAGCAGTCATCAGCGTGTGATCCTAAGAGCCTGAAGGAATGGGGGGACTGGGAGGGCAGCAGGACAAGAGCTGTGTAGATACACACACAACAAAGTGTGCAGTGGAGGAATTCTGAGAGTGTGACACAGACGAGGGAGAAAAAAAGAATAGGGAGATTCAAGGGACAGAGAAAAGCCGTGATGTTCCAGCTGGTAGAAGGCATTAACACAGAAAATGAAGGATTTTGGATGGGTAGCTTATGACCAAAAGGGATGGAGGGAACAGGAAAGATGGGTAGTGAGGGGAGTGCCCAAAAGGTCAGCAGGACTCGTGTTTGACTTGCCAGCAGTGCATCGAGTGTTGCTGTACAGTGCAGCGAGGTGCCCCCCAGCTGTGCCTCGAGCATGACTTACAGCACAGTATTGAATTTCCTGCGCAAGAGGTAGTCAATGACATCAGGGTCTGTCTGAAACAGTCTTCTTAAGATGTCATGCTGCATTTCTGGAGAGACCTGGGAGGGATACACAAACACACCTGCTCATGGCACCTCCTCCTCTCTGAAGGCAAAAAAAGCAGACAGCCAGGGCCCTGTGCTGCAGAGCCAGAAGGACGCTGGGTCAGTACTTGCTCACAGACCTGTAGAAGTAAGACTGAAGTGGAATTTCACAGAGAGGGAGATGTGATGAATGGTTGGAGGTTAGTCACAGAAGATTAGGCCATAAATATGCAACCAAAGAGAGCCTGGCTCAAGGAAAGGGAGGATTAGAATAATAAAATCATTAAGGCTGGAAAAGGTCTCCAAGATCACCTGGTCCAACCATCCCCCTACCACCAATGTCACCCACTAAACCCACCCACTAATCTAGCAGGAGGGTGGAGAGAGGATGGAGCCTGGGCACAGGTCAAGGTACAGCAGGGCCAATTCTGATAAGGAGATAATTATTCCCCTGGTGGGGGATCCATCCCAAATTAATACTCACATGTGTCATGGACAATGAATCACATTTACACAAGCTGACTCAAGTTACCTGCTGTTAAATGGGGCTGTGAATACATCCTTGCTACTATTAAGAAACAGTTCAGATGGAAAGAAAAGCTGTCCTGGGAAAGCCTCACCTACCATGAACAGGGTCTGGTAATGTTCAATCAACCTCTGAACCACCAGTATGATGGCAGTGCTGTCTTCAAAGTCCTTGGCACCAGAATCTTTTTCTCCAGGCTTCTCTTTCTGCAGTATGTTGGGACCAAAGACTGTGGCCAAGTTTGAAACTGTCATTTTATTCCCAGGAATCTAGCAAGCAAGCACAAAGAGAAGTTATAGATTATGTATGCACTGGCACAAGATGTCCCAGGATAGCCTCACCCACCCTAGGACAGGAACACGAGCTATTGAGTGAGGACAGAGTGCTGAGCTAGGTCCAGTTTGGTCCTCCTTGAATGCAGGGCCAGCTTGAAGGGTATGTGGTGCTGGAGTACGTGTTCACCCCTTCTTTGCATCAGAGCCTCCATCTCCCTCTAACTCACTTTCACAACCTGTGCTAGAAGATAACAGCTGATACTTCTACATTGTCTTACAATACGGGGGGGAAGGAAGTGGAGGGGGGAAAAAACAGTCTTTTTCCATCATGGAGAGACTGAGAGCTCAAATTGTCCAGAGAAACCAAAATCAGCCTCAATGCATGATGGTGAGTTCTTCATGAAAGTTGGAAGTAGAATACTAAAGAGGTCCCTTGTGCTGCCTACAGGTGTGCAGCCAAGTCTCTCTGGAGTTAATGAAATCCAGAAAATCACTTAACTGGACTGAGAGCAACCCAGACTCACCACAGAAAAGGAAATTTATTGACAATTGGTTTTATAAGCCTTCTTTTTCTTCCTCCTCTTCTTTAAATGTTGCCTGCCCCAGTTTCTTTAAGAGCAAAACCTGGTCCCTAGCTAGCTGTACAACAGAGGGCAGCCTGAACTGTCACCTTTAATTGATCTAATTACAACATTGGCTAAAAACTGAAAAAAATCCTCAGCATTCAGCTGACTTAACAGCAGTCACAGGAGAGAGCCATCGTGAACCCAAGGTGTCAAAGGAATAACCAAGGCTTGCAAGAAACTCTGCTGGGTTTTAAGCAACAACGTTTGAACAATCCCTTTTTCATGCAGTTGATCCTTGTGGGCCAACCTTACCTCCTGGCCATCGGGGCCCCAGGAGCTCTTGGCATGCTGGGCCACCTTGCTGAGGAACCGCAGAAGGCGGTGCAGCGTGTCGCTGTGGCAGGGGGGCAGCACAAAGAGCAGCAGCTGGAGCACAGCCAGCTGTGCCGGGACTTCCATGGCTAGGAAGAGAGAAACCCATTGTTAGAAATGTGTAGTGCAGTTTCCAGCCTGCTATATCTGGACAGCCCTAGTTTAAATCCTCAGTAACAAGCCCTGGAGGGAGCCAGACTGGTGTCCATTGCAGCACTCCAGTGCTGGGAATGGTCCTACCACATTTCAGTGATGGCAACTCAGGTATGGTTTGCCTGCTGCACAATAGCTTCCAGCTCCTCCTGTACGTTGCTGCATATATTACTGAAGATGCACTTCAGTTGAGTCACTGTCCTGATGTGGGTACTTACAGGCTGTGCTGAGGAAGGCTGCATAGAGCTCTCTGGGAATCAATGAGTCTGACATGTCCCGAAGAAACTCTTTGAGCAGAGCAGCCACATCATGAACGCTTTGATGTTCATCCAAGAAAACATCCAGTCCGTGGTCAAACTCTTCCCTCAGCTTAAAGATAGAAATTAGAAGAATAAAAGCAACAGCCAGTTCTTCCTTTTTAGATGAGTAATGCTGTCAAGAACTTCTCCCTCTGCAGAGCTACTGCAAGAAAGCATGCCAGAGCCCAAAAGCTTGCTACTGACCAGAGGGAGCGCCTTGGCTGGTGAAGAGAACCCAGAGGGAGCTCTGAAGTGCCACCAGGGGAAGGAGGCTCCTATGCTAAAGGCAGCTTGGAGAGATGAAGCCTGCTTTCCATGGCTGCAAAAAAGGACCCAGCAGTTTACAGATATTCTGCTCCAGCATGGCCTGTGATATTTTAGAACTCTGCATGCCAACGCCTGCTTTATTCATTCACCTCCCATATGGGTATTTGTCCCTTGGATATGATATTAACAATACGAGGATGCAGTAAGTGTCTCACTTTACCTGCTGAACTCTTTTCTTGGAGCTCCCAACTCGGAAGATGCCCACTGTCTGGAGACCTGCGGGACAGGCGGGTTAGTGCTCTGCATTCTCACAGCTCCCTGCTGCCCCAACCCGTCCTTAGAGCACCTCAACATGTAAATATCACAGACACAGCTCTCTTCACCTGCACGAGGCAGTGTGTCCTTCCCCATTTCTGGCAGAGGGGATAAGAAGAAAGGTTTTGGAGCCCTAAGATTTGATTGTCTGTGGATCAGGGAGTAAAAACCACTTTTACAGTCACTCTGAGATTTGAAATGGATTTGCAGGGGAAGCTAAGGCCAGCACACCAGGAAAGGGTCACCAATACACATAGGTGACATTCACCTCTCAATCCAATGGCTGCCTTCAGCCTGGAGGACTCTACCTGGGTGACTGTTCAGCAGGGTACCCTGCCCCAGAAATCAGCCGTCTCCTGTAGCTGGGAACTTCCAGGCCAAACTGCCCTTGCCCAGCACTTGCAATGGGTTTTTACCAACCTGCTCTGGGACAGACCACCCGACCGGAGAGAAATCTGTATTTACCGTATGTTTCAATATGTTTGCAACATCTGTCCACAATCCGCGGGACCTGCCAGGTGATGGGGTTGAGGCTTAGCATCTTTTTCTTGCCCAGGCTTCTCCGTGGATCCAGCTCGTGGGGGTGTGACAACTGCAGTGCCTCCAGCAGCTTGGAACTGTTGTCACTCAGGTCAGTGATGGAGTCCACGGACATTGCCCCCTGAGATGGAGGAGAGGTCATAAATGTCTAAAGCCAAGAAGCCCGTTTCTTATCTGTCATGATAGGAATTTGGCCATGTCCTTCTGGTAACTTTGGTTTTCCTCAGCTTTCTGCCTCCATACAAGATGAGCCAGTAGAGACTGGCCCACCCCTCACAGTCCATCTCCTGGGTGGAAGTGGCCCCTGAGTGTGTGAACTGTGCCCACCTCATTTCTCTGAGGGCAGACAGGGACACAGCATGAGTAACACACATTCATTAAGAAAAGACCCTGGAAAACCAGATTTGTTGCTGAAGCAAGGGCTTCCCCCAGCCTATAAAACTATCATGACATGTCTGCCAGAGAACTTAGTCCATTTTTGCAGTCGTACCCTTCTCTGACTCCAGGAAGAGCTATGGTCAGGAAAAGCTGGGGAAAGAGGCTCTTCAGGGAAGATCTCACAAGGTACCATCCAGCAGCTCCTGCCCAGCTGGGACCTCTTCTGCATCTGTGCCCGAAAGTTTGTCACCGTTGCTTCCACCTCCAAGCACAGCCGGCGGCTACTCTTCACAGTTTCTTGCAGTTGCTTGTACGCACGATCATTGGCAATGACTTGGAAAAGTGGGATCCCAAAGGTCTGAGGAGAATAGTCTAGGAAAAAAAAAAACAAACATGGAAGGAATTGAGAAGTATTGCTATCAGTGAAAAAACAAGAGGGAGCAAGTGCAGCACAGGCCAGCTGCCAAGGATATATGTGATTATCTGGATAAAGTAATTAGCCTTCAGAAGAGAATAACAGATATAAAATATCAGACTTAAAAATTGCCTTGAGTAGACTTTGTACTTGTGTGGAAAAAAAAAATTGGTAAGTGCTTGTTCCCAGCTGACTGCACTCTACATTTCTGTTTTCCCCACTTTCCAGCTGATATCCTTCAAGAGACCAGAAAAGAAACCAAAACTCAAACCAGCAAGACTAGGGGTAAAATATGCAGGTAGGCAAGTGAACATCTTTACATATGCACGTTCACACACAAACTCATATGCACTCTTCGACGTGCTCTCATGTTTGTGTAATTCTGATTACACACCACACTGAAACAACAACAAAACGACGTTGGTTTGGGACAAAACATTTTGCTGACTTTGAACACTTCCCATCTCAGCCCCATCAAAAAAAAAAAAAAATCACAAATTCTGTTTGAGATGATGACCAAAACCTGGGTAAAAGGAAGGCTGCTCACCTTTCTTCTCCTTTGAAAAGCTCTCCAGTTTCTGGCGGATAGATTTACTGCCTTTAGGTCCAACTATGGGGACAAGAGAAAGCAAAGACTATGCTTCGTTAGGCTGCTTTAGAACAGTCTCACCTTAAAGCCATTTTCCTTTCTGCGCCCTCATCGATTGAGCGCGGCCACAGGCACCTCCCTTGGGTGAGTGAATGCTGAGAAGCTGACAAAGCAGTGCCACACTTGTTAGATGAAACACATGCCACCCAGAAATCCCATCCTGACCCTAGACAGTCAAGCTCCATATTCAAATATGCTCCAATTTATACATTCAGGAGCATCAGTCATCATTTTTTATTGTAACTATGAACTGAAAACTCATCCAATAACTATACTAAATCAAGCCATCATCCTGCCTTGGCTCGTGCTCTGTATTCCTTAAGAATTCTCTTCCTAGACACAGCTTATATAAATGTTTGGGTTATTTTGTAAGATTTAGAAGAGAGCTATGTTGGTATGAACAGTATTTGTATAAAGAATAGCCTACGTTAACCATTGTACTGCACCACATGTGTTGTTTCATTCAAATGACTAGATAGCAAGAAGATGAAGAACAATCCAGAGCCAAAAACAGTACCAAGATAAGGAAGAAAAATGTCAGCAAAACTCCACTGCTTAAACACCATCACAGTAACTCCATTCCTAAAGCTTTCCAGATGTTCCCAATGGAAACAAACCACGAGGCAGCAGCTAGTAAAGAAACCACCAAGCTCCCCCTGTCCAGAAGGCATGAGCTGGTGCCTCTGTGAGAGAGTAACACACAAAGCCCACTTCAAACCTGGAAGACAAGGATGACCTCTTTTCCCTGAGAGATGTACCTCCTGCAGAGATTTCATCTTTCTTGTTCACCTCTTGCTTGAGCCACATACTTATTCTTGCAGCATTGGCCAAAAAGAGATTGTAGTGCCCATCACGTTTCCTTTGCAGTTCAAAAGGGTAATCCTGGAAGTGGCTGTTTGCTCTAATGTCTAAGAGCACCTGGCTGGTGCTGGTGCTCTAGTGGGGCTGGAGAACCCCCAGGCTCCTCCTGCAACCACTCTGCTGGTAGCAGGTGACCGTACAGCTGGTAAACTACAGAAGTTGTATTTTCTGCCCTACTGGGGTGCCAAAATACAGTGTAGTGCATTGGAGCTGGTCTGGCCACTGTTAAGTAATGAGTACGGTTTGGGAAGGAGTCTACTGATCCCCATCTCATTGCACTTGTTTCGTTAGATGTGAAGACATCAGAGCGGTTGGGAACACAGATAGTGCCTGTATTTCTTCATAGGCTAGGGTAGAGGAGCACAGTCCCTGGGGAACCTCTATATTTATCTCAGCATTAATTTCAGTAGCATGTCCTCTAGCCTTGCATAAGCCCCATCCCAGCGTCAGAACCTTGTGCTGAACGTTGATGCACAAAGCAAAGCTTGTCCCATCCCAACGGAATTAAGAGGGCCCTGCTGGAAGACCTTGCTGAATCACGTCGCATCTGTTTTGGATTAGGAGAACCAGAGGCAAACAACAGACAAGGTCATATTCTCACACTCCTATAGCCACACAAACCTCCCTTAGAAGGCTCATTAGGCCTTCAAGGCCCATACCAAAACAGGGAACAAAAAATTACATGGAACAAAACTCTTAAGTGTCACAATGTCATTCCATAAACATGATCCCACGTTATGAAGTGCAGGAGTGAGGATGAATAACAATAATGGCTCAGATCTTGTTCCTCCCCTGGCAAAAGCCGTCCTCTCCCATCCCCTACCTTTAGCCAAGCTGAGATCTCCAACGAGCAGCTTCTCCTGCAGCTGGTAGAGGGCTAGCTCCTGCAGACTGGCTCTTTCCAACTCCGAAAGGCTGTGTAGGGACACAGGCTGCATTTCAGTGCTTTAGCTTGGCAGAAGAGCTGAGAGAAAGGTCCTCTGAAAAACATACATGTAAAAGTAAAAGACTCAGGAGCACGTTGCAGACACACCTGCTGAAAATGTCCCACCGTGTCTTTCCAAGTGCAAAGGACACTCGCCCCTCTTTCACCCCTCCAAAGAGCCTGCTGATCTCTCAGTGCCCTGGACACACTGGCTCATTGCCCTTCCAAGCAAAGGCCTTTGGAGGCATCAGGGATCTCAGTCCTTGCTCTTGAGACCCAGCAGGCTGCCTGAGGCATCTCACTGCTTAGCAGAGAGTTTTCTGGCTGGTTCTGGGTGTTTTCACATGAAGCCCAGTGCTATCAGGCTCATGTACACAAGGCAGGGCACATCCTAGTGAGCCAGAGTAGGAGCCACAGTCCTGATGCTGTAAATTTGCAGCTCTTCACCAGGGGAACGTTTCCTGGCTGGTGTCAGCACCTGAACCATGCTCCACGTGAGCAAAGTCAGGATAGACATGTCTGGCCATCTCCTTACCAAAACCAGAACAAATAACAATTCCAAAGCTTGACAAAACCTCATGAGAGGAGAACAGAAGCACCACTTATCCCTGCTTGGTCTAACACCTTATCTCACATGCTGCTCTTCCCCTTTCTCCACCCGAGATTCGCTCAGCAAACAAACTCCCGAAGCCAGGGGGCTCTCCTTCCATCTCATCACGTCCTCACACACTCAACCCTCAGCTGCATTTGTTTGCAGCTACATTGGGATCAGCTCCGGATTTGTTCAGACTCAGACTTTCCTTCCCTTCCACCCCTCCCAGAACTAACACCTGATAAAAACCTCCTGGTGACCTGAGCATTTCCCAGCTCCCCAGGCACCCCCCCTTGCTTTGTCCCAACCCTCCAACAGACCCTGCCGACTGCCCCATCGATAACCTTTATCTCATTTTGTCTTGTTAAACTTTACCTTGTTATCTTGTCTTGTTAAACAGCTGTTGATTACCCAGACCTTTAATTTGTCAAGATCTCTGCCCGGCTTCTTTACCCTTGAGGAGTCAAGAGCGCCTCCCGATTTAGTATCGTTTACAAACCTCTAAAATCTGAAAATTAGCACACATCCCACTAAATAAGACTTATGGCTCCATTTTATTTATAAACTGTTCTTCTCTGCCTACTTTCCCCATTATAAATAGTTTAATTTCTGAATTTAATTATTAACACTGAGCTCTGTTTCTTCTGAATCATAAATCCACAGGGTCAAAGCCTCAATGTCTTTACTCTCAGCAGTGGATGGGCTACAGCTGACAGCTCACAGCCCCACTCAGGGCACAGGTGACTGCTGAATGCCCCGTCCCCAGCCAGGCAGCGTGTCATCAGCCTCCAGGCAGTGGATGCTGACCACCTTCCCTGCAACTTCACCTCTCCCTGTTATCTGCAGAGAGGCTGTGGTGGGGCTTGCCCTTGCTCCCTGATCCGTCAGCACTCCGTGCAACACCTCTGCTGGCACCCATCAAACACAAGCCACAGTCCAAAGAGCAAAAAGCAGCAGTAAAAAGGAGAAATGACCTGGGTTAGTAGCACATACATAGAAAAGATGTAGTCAAAGTACAGGCTACAAAGGAGCTTTCCCAAGGAGGTGTTTAAAGAAATATAAAAAAGTTTCTGGAAATCTAGAGCAAGTGATGAGGGTGAAAACGCTCAGAAGTGCTGGTCCAGGCAGCCTGCACAGGCTCTTGTATTAGCCCCAGCACACCTCCATCCTCTGTGCCTGGGGAGGAATGTTGTCAGCCACAGTGTTTGTTTTGGCCAGGTTTCCAGTTCTTAAACATTTTTAGAAAGTTATATAAATTAAAAAAAAAAAAAAAAAAGTTGCTATGAACTCCCCAGAAGGGCAAACCAAAAAGGGAATTCAGCTAAAGGCGAAGATATTCTTGAAAATGTTGAAGTTCATTACAGAAACTATACGCCTCTGTTAGGATTTGGTGACAAAAATGAGATGTAATACAGCCAAATTTCCTGGTACTGCTCAACACTGCTGTAAGTTAAAAACCCTCCAAACCTGAGCACCAACCCAGGTGCTCACAGCTATTTAATACACTGGATCAGGGTAAATCTCCCCGAAAGAGCTGTGCAATGCTACATGCATTGCAGCTAACCCTGCATACAGCCAGATTTAGCAGCGACCACTCTACAGCTTTTGGAGCTTGGGGGATGCATTAGCAAAGAGCCCAGAGAGTCACTTCACCTGCTGGAATCTGAAGTCAAGCACAGCCCCTGAAGGCATTCATGTCTTGCCTGCAAAGGGATTTTTTCATTCTTACTTTGTTAAACAACATCAGGATCTGCAGCTCCTGCAGAAGTCAGGGATGGGCAGAAGCCTGACCAGGAGGTTCCTGGCAGCACGTGAGCTCTGCTACCAGCAAATGCTGCAGACGGAGAGACAGCCCCTGAGACAGTGAAACCGAAGGGAATTACCTTTCTGTAGGTGAAGCTCACAGATCCAGACAGAGCCCACATTCACAGCCCTGCCTGAGCTGAGAGAATGGTCTGAGCAGTCTCTGAGGATGCAGCTGCCTTGAGGAAAGGAGGAGGAAACCAGATTAGAAAAGAGAGAGAAAGCAGGAAGTCATAGAAACCCTCTGCTTATCTGGCACTAGTCTACACCCTCCAAGAATAGCCATAGAGAATGTCACCATCACCAGCTTTAAGATAAACTTGTTGTTAATGGTTAATGCCAAAACACCTGGCATTACTTCTTGCAATTACTTCATGTTTGTGCTCACAGGAGCAAGCTAGATTGGGAACACCCAATGCTCATACACAGCTGGGGAAAAGCCAGAGTACTACAAATCCTCCTTCAGAGGTGGATGCCATAAAAGGAATTGGATTAATCCTAAAACAGAAATAAAAAGTTTTTCATCGGGAATGCTAACATTGCACTTCCTCTCTGCAATGACTTTCCATGCTTATTTTTAGGAGTAGGTCTTATTTAAACAATTTCATGGGAAAAGCTCAGCTCAGCTGCCCCTTCTAGTCCCGGAGAGCTGCATTTTCTCCCCCATTTTCAGAAGCAAAGTTGCCCTCTTTCCAACTGGAAGGAAGGACTTGCATTTACCTTTCTCGTTTTCTTCTCACAGCATGACCAGTGACAGCCCGGGCTCGCTTCTTTTCCTTCGAGATGATGAATTTTAAAGCAGCGTCTTCACCGTGTCCTGCACAGCCCCTTCCAAAGGGTGAGGGAACCTTCCCTGCACGCAGTGAGGATGAGAAGTGATGGGGAAGAAAATCTAAATGCAGTCAAGGGGAGGAGAAGGGTGGTGAGAAAATGAATTTTCTGCCAAGAGAAATGAGAGCCAGAAACATCGTGTTGAGATAGAGGGCAGGGTTAGATGGGAAGGAACAGCACTTCCCACGCCTGACAGTGTTTATTCCTTGGCAGAGAGGATCGTTGCTCAATCCCCTGTCCCCATGCTCTCCCTACCCTTATCTGTCAATAACTAGGACAGCCACAAAAGCAGTAGCTGTTCTGGCAGATTAAACCTGAAAGGGAAATTTGCTGCTTAGGTGCTGGTCTGTGAAGTGGCTGGGTTTCATCTTGGCTCTCCACGCTCTGACCTGGTCCATCACCTTCTCTTAGAAATGACCACGTCTCTCAGTGCAGCTTAGCCAGGCACGTGGCTGCCCTCCGTACCCATGAAGGACCTGAGGGGCCACCAAAATCCTGTGCGAGGCTTTGGCATTACAGAGCTCAGGGGCTTGACAGCACAGCTGGCGTTTTGTACGACGTGTTGTACTGTGGTGCTTACAGATCCCAGAGAACCTTACCTATCTACAACAAGCCACAAAGCGTGCACTGGCGAGACCTAAAATTGAAACTTCACAAGTCAACGCATGATCACACACCCAATGCTAGACCAGCTCTTGTATCTCCAGAGCATCTCTCTCCAGGAATGCCCAGGTTATCCTCAGGCTCCTTTTTAAACTAGATGCCTTCTGTTTATCTGGGACCTGGCTCTGCCATTTCCAGCTGCCCAGGGGGGCTCAGCATCTTGTGATACAGCAGGCAGGGCACCAGCTGCCAGCAGCTGAACTGCTTCCCTCCTAGCAGCGGTTACTCTTTGAGTCACAGCCAAGCTTGCAGCTACCTCCAAAACGGGCATCCCTTGCACGAGAACCCCCTCAGACTGCTGTTTGCCCCTTTGTGGAGTCTTGTCTGTACGAGCACTGGTGCCCTGCTGCACCAAACCTGGCTGCACAAGCACTGCGCTGCTGGAAAACACAGAGCCCCATCAGCACCACAGGCTTTCGGTGTAGATACTGGTAACAGGAAAAAGAATCCCACAGAATATAAATGTCCTTAAGTGCAGGACGTCAGCCGATACAGCGCAATGCAACACAATGCACGACTTTTGTGCCAGTCCCAGGGGGTGCATCTTCTTCTTTTTTTTTTTTCCAAAGGCTCCTGCCGATGGAGGTATGATGTACTGCTCAGATCTCAGCCTGTGGTTGGAGCTGTGATGCTTTGTAGCATCATATGATGCTTTGTAGCATCGTAGCTACAACCCTGCCAAAAGTGTTCACCAGAAATAACCTAATCCAGCTCTACTCTCAACCCCAAATTAAAAGTAACAGAAAGTAACTCCCAGAAAGAATTAAGGACTTAAAAACCAGAACTGCAGAAAGCAGCAGGAGCTGCCTAAATGGAACCCATAGGAAAACCACATCTGCAGTTGCTGAGGACTGGAGGTCTCAAGTGCTGACGTAGAAGCAGGAGTCCACACAGCCATGAACTCTTCTTCCCAGGTTACACAAATCCTAAAAGTCCTTTTCTGCAAATCGTCCAGGAAAGATCTGCATACCTTCCTGCTGGCTCAAATCCTCTTTACTAGTCACTGGTAACCGAGAAGCACAGACAGAATTAATATTTACGCCATTGCTGCACCAGCAAGGGTTATTTCGGGACTCCTAGTATTAGTGGCAGGAGAGGCTGTAAAAGTACTCAGTAATTTGGGTTGATTTACCTTCTTGCTCCAGTGGAATCTAGCTACCCAGACAGTTCCTAAACCCGACTTCTGCCACCCTTTTCTGGACCGCAGTTTTCACTTGCCCCTCAAGTATAAGCATTAAGTGCTGACATTTGTTACTCTTCATTTTAAAATCCTATAACCAGTTCAAGCTTTGGCATCCTGCCTGAATTTTGCTGTAGGTGAAACCAAGTCCTGCATGCAGATTCGAGTTCTCTAACAAGTTCTGTGTCAGCCCAGATTTGACCCCATATCTCTCTGCTCCTGGATTACTTCGGCCACCAGCAGCAGGCTTCTACCCTGCCTCCTAGTCACCATAGCTGTGCCTAGTCTGCAAGGTCTGCTTTTTTTGAGGACAAGAGCCTAGCTCAGCATAGGGGAAGCTGGATTCAAATCCCAGCACCTCTGAATGTCAACACTTGAAACTTTCCAGAAGCTGGGAACTTTCCTCACACCTAAAGCTGTCCCTGTCCAGATGATTGGTAGGTGACAAAAAGTGACTCTTGATCTTTTCAAGAGCAGACCAGGATGTGCACAGCAAGAAGCCTGGCGTCTAGATACACTATGGGGCAGAAGCTGAAGAGCAGATGTCTGCAAGGACAGCGAAGCCCCATGTTCACTGAGGGCTAGGCCTCAAACCTTTCATTTTAGTGATGGAGCGCTCCCTTTCCTATAGCAGACAATGCAAGTTGGGTGAAGGAAAAAAAAAAAAAAGCAACAAGACCAAGATTTGAACATTAAAAATGTTTATTCCTTAAAAATACAATGTTCACCTGTAGTGACACAAATAGTCAGAGTTATTAAAAAGGTTTTTCATATGCTTCCAGTGTAGCAGTCCTTCAGTGTCAGGAACAAAAGTGAGCAGGTAGTTTCCCCCCTCATCCCCCATGGGAAGCCTGGTCCCAACAGAAAGGTTTGTTCCACCCATTTCTGCTGCCTGTGCCAACATGAGCTACGTGCAGATCTCTCACTAGGTTCGAAAGCTCCAGGAGGCATCCACTGCCAGAGCGCAGGGTTTTGTTTGGTTGGTTGGTTTTAGATTTTTTGTTTGTTTTTTTAAAGCATTTTACCCTATATCTTACCAACCTTCTGTAGAGGGCTGGGGAGCCTGATGTTTACTGAGAATGTGAGGTACAGCCTTGGGGAAGATTCAGGAGGAGAAAAGTCTGTGCTGTTTTCTAGCACTTTCTGAAGCTCAGTCTCAAAAACGAAGCGGATGGAGAAATTTGATGGCAAGCTGTTAGAAAAATACAGGTCTGACGTAGGCCCTTTGTTCTACCCAGATCAGTAGAAAATTCAATACACCTCCTACATCGAAAATTATTTACAGACTGGTTCTGCAATGCACAAACCCTCAGAGAAACCACCATAATCACACTCCTAGTGACACTGCCTTCACATTAGCTTAACAGTTAAACCTTCAGTAGAGAAAAGAGCCTTGAAAAAGATCTGACTGTTAGGCTCATAGCGACTCTGAGCCAACTAAGTCGTCTTCTGTTTAAACATACCTCATTTTTTGTCATATAAATGTCTAAAAAAAATGACATTTTTTTCCCTCTGGGTGGTTCTAGAAACCAGAAAGTTGTTTGTTTTTTTTGTTGGTGCTTCAGTGGACAGTCTATGGCTGTTCCTACCAGTAAAAAGAAGGTACAGGATGAGAGATTTAGGCACACACAGTACATACAACATTGGCAAAACATGTGGTCAACACAATGGGCTTAAAAATATCAGACGAACTTTGTACACAAAATGTATCAAACAGCACTTTGCTTCTTAACAAAATAACTGATCAAAGAAGCTCCAGCAGTTCAAGTTTCTTCTAGAGCTACTCTGGACTTAAAATTTCACTTACATATTATCCCATGCGTGCAAGATAATCGTCATAAACAGAGGTAAGAGGCATCCTAAGTTTTCTTGACACACACATCCTGCTGTTGTTTTCAGTGTTAAGTCAGTTCAACTGAAGCTCAAGTCGTTTTCAACCCATCAAAACCACAAAACTTCCATTTTTTCTCTAAACTGGCCCCAACCCCACTCAGCTCCTGTTTGAACGTAGTTTGAAGTCTGGTCATGAGAACTTCCACTTCGGTGGTGCAAATCTGTGAAAACAAAAGGAAATTTTCACTAAAAAAAGAGGATGCTTTTGGTTACAGAAGCCCTGAAATGACTGGTTACATTCAAACTCAAGCACATTTAATTGCTAAAGGACATCTAGGATTTCCCTAGATCTCTTGTCCAAATACTAATGGTGATATCTTTGGGATGGCATGAGTTGTGCTACTGTCACACTTCGGGGTGAGATGGCTGCAGCTATAATAATAAAAAATAAATAAAGGGTAAAAAGAACGTCCAATGTTTTTCACTGTTAAATGCAAGATAATGAATTAAAAACTCCCAAGCATTTATGTAAGTGAACAGTAAATACTACTACCACTGCTTTGAGAAAGAGTTCTCAGCTAGTGCATACAGAAATCGGGGAAATTGGGAACTTATGGAGACTTTTGATTCACAAATTTGACTGTTCTGGCATTTACTAGATACAATTAAAGTTCAGCAAGTGAAAAAAAACTCAAAGATGCTGCAAGTTTCAGGACATAAAAACTGCAAAGGCTGTGTCCACCTTACGTTCAATTGCCTGCATCTGTTTTCTTACTGCAGCAGAACCATTAAAAATTTATTTATTGTATTAATAACAATTCAAGTTTGCTTCTGTTATGTGTTTGAGACTGCTCTGACACATGTTAAGAGCTGACTGCACAATAACCTCATCCACCTGCTGGATAGCTGAAACATTAGGATACATTTTTGGATGAAAATGTGGGTATTTTCCAAGACTGCAGAGAATGTGACATCTTTTTACATATTCTGCTGATCTACCACAGTAACTGTTTTTGGTTTTAATACCCTTTAGAGCTTGCACAGTTTGTAGTCCTGCTGTTGCAGTACTGTCAGTTTTCAGGGGCTGTGCTTCAAGCTTGGTGTGTATGGACCACACACCTCAGCAATGCCTCCTGCTGCTGCTTCATTTCCACCTCCAACACAGTGGTTTCAGTGCAACAATTCTGTAATGTCAAGTCTGATCCCACTTCATGCTGTCTAATACAATGCATAACTGGATTTTCCAATAGATAATCCTGAGCCATTTCTCCTACCATCCTTCAAAGTCATGTTTGACTCTGACCCTCTCAAAGAAGTTCTTTTGATTCACTTGTTTTTACCATATGCCAGCAAGAATCACAGTTTTCAGGTAGGACTCAGCTAGGCCGAAAAGTTCTTTATTTTCAAGAGGGCAGGCTACCATTTACCA